TATGGGATAGTTCGGGGTTTGTTTCCTTACGACTGGTGTACTCTTAGTTTGCTCTTGCTTGCTGTGTTAAAAACACTTTCCAATAAGTACTTTCACATCTTGCACATACCTATTCAAAGAAAAGATGTCAAGTGAAACTTACCAAACACCTTGGCATCACTCAAATAAAATAGCCAGAGCCATGCATAACAGTTGTTCTACACTAGAATTAGACCAAACTGTATACACACCATACACACATTCTTGAAGAGTCCAAAACAGAAGTGTAATGGTATTCATGAAGACTCACCCAGACATAACAATCAGCCAGAACATGCAGCTGAAGGTGATAGTTTCACGTCTAAATTGTGGCTATTTTGTGATAAACTTATGTTTTAAACTCATTGTGTCATAAAAATCTTACTGAAAAGATACATCATGGGCTTTCAAAATATCTAGTTGAAAGCCCATGGATACATCAAATTAGGAATAAGCATTCATAAAAAATCTTTGTCATATCATATCAATATGCAATATCCTGATTGAAGAAAAATATGCATTATTTTTAGTTACATTTTGAAACTTGGAAAATGTTTAAATCCTGCATGGAATACAACAGAAAACAACAAGGATTTAGAAACCTACCCTAATATGTTGTGACAGTTGCACAAGGGAGTTGGACAATGACTAACAGAAGAAACTAGGCATATGAAAAAATTAATTCAAAAATTCCTTATGAACCTCCCCAGCCCAAAGACTTCATCATCAATCTGCAAAAGAGTTGTAAGACAGGCACAGTAAGATTTTTAAGGATATGATCTTGGGACTCTTAGAATAACATCTTCACACTTAGTATTCATGACCCCATGTAATAGTCAGCTGCTACTGGGATCTCCATTTGACACACTACAAAGTGCTCATGGTTATTTATGTGAAAGGAACAATAAATCGAAAAAAAAATACTTAGATGTGATTCCTAGTGAGATTGAAGCCAGTGGCAAAATATACTAGTTCAAGACAACGACTCAATGACATTATCAATAACACAATTCTTGGATGGTTCTTATGTATCATGATAGCTGATGATGGATCTATAGGTACAAAACTAAAGTCCTCATAAAGAGGAACACATTCCCATTTGACAATATTACTAACAGATGCTTCCGACACAGCTGATGGAGAAATGTGATGGGGACACATAATTTTGACAGTGGCACTCCGATATCGCAGGGTTCTGGAGAATTCGACATCACCTGTTTATTAGGTAATTCTCTCAGTACATTCATTGTGTAAACAAACAAATTGTCAGACCAAGATGTATTCAAACACATACTGTAAAAATTGAATTTGCGAATCTTAGACGAGGAATTTTACAATGATAGAGGAAATTTTTTTATATGCAGTATACTTGTTTTTCATCGCTACTTAATCCAGGTTGTTCAAGAAAACCTTTTCTGATTTAGCTTATGAGGAAATTTTATCGAAACCAATTTTTGAATTTAGCTTATTACTGTATCTAAAATCTTATCTTTCTCGACCAGTTGCCAGGTGATTTTTGCCATTTGAAAGGCATTCGTTGACATACTCACTACTATTCTAGCATTTAGCTGATTTCTGATAAAACATGATCGCATACTACAGTAAAGTTTGATCTTTGTATATGCGAAGCACACCGTCTATCTTTAGCCATGTTGAAAAAATTGGTTAAATCAAAAACCAGGAACATCTTGTGTTCGTTCCTGCTGCATGTACCGACAAACTACAGCCATTAGATGCTTTGCCCAACAAGATCTTTAAGGATGACTTAAAGAATCAATTACAGCGATTCTATGCCAATGAGCTCATGAAGCTTAAGAAAGCATGGGAGATTTGCGGAATTTAAAGAGTTAAATTAACTTATGTACAGTTTTAAGAATGCACATAACATCAAAAACACATTACAAGATGCTCAATTTGGAAAAATGTAGTATTAAATGGAACCTTCATAGAAATATGGTAAATGAATATTTCAGTCTTTATATGGTGAATATATCAGGTGGGCAAGAAATCTAGTCATACTTTCACCCATTTCATGCACTACACCCATTTCATGCACTACACCCATTTAACATGTTTCACCAAGTGTTGTCTGGTAAACTTGTTAAAATAAAATTAAGCTGTATGGAATGGCAGGTAGTGTCTTTGTGACAAGTGTTGTGATGATGGACCTGTAAGTACAGGGTGATCATAAAATAAGATCAAATGTGCTCTAATTTTTGTAAACATTAATGAATCTGACTCGTTATCTAACAGAATGTTGATCTAATAATTATACATACAAAAAGTAATTTTCAACACGCTACATTTAAAATTCTGCTTCTTTGGCAACCATGGCAACCCATGTCGAGGGTACCTGGACCAGTCAATAAAATAAAGGAAACATTATGTTTTCTTTCTTAATGGTTTTTATGGAAATACTGCCATATTTTTGTTACATTCAATGTACGCTTAACCACTATCTTAATCATGTCAGTAAGATCTTAAGACTTGGCATGTGTTGAGAATGAATGTTGATATAGTCAAATCGATTAATTTCGTGAAAAAGAATTTAATAAAGTATGAAATACAGAAGATAATCCCTAAAAATAAAAAAAATAAAAACACAGCAGTGAGGCCTAATTGGGATGTCACTATGAGATCTGGTGATCGCAAATCATCAATTAAAGACACAAACATCAGAACATACTTATTTAAAACAACAAACATTCCAATAAATAACCATTTGCAAGTGTAAACGCCCTCAGCTGATAAGTGATAGTAGTGACCAAATTACCCCTATCAAGTAAAGTAAATAGGGCCTTGACATTAACTATGACAATGATGAAATGAAATTATGTCATCTCAACTGAAGCCAATGCCCTTTTAGTTTAAGAACACAAAAATGTAAACAATCACTGCTCCCAATGTAGTCACTAAGATATTAAAGTAACAAAATGAATGTTCTTCCAAAGACAATACACGGTGTCCCAGAAGTAATGATGATTATGCTCTCAAATTACTTATTTGATAAGGAAACAAATATGAAATTCAAGCAAATCAAAGATTAAGATGTAGGCTTTGTTTTGCTATATCACATTTATCACTTAACACAGCAATACTTTAATTACAGTTGCCATAGCAACCAGTTTGCGTGTTCTGCGGAGCACTATTTCGATGGACCTGTAAGTACAGGGTGATCATAAAATAAGATCAAATGTGCTCTAATTTTTGTAAACATTAATGAATCTGACTCGTTTTCTCACAGAATGTTGATCTAATAATTATACATACAAAAAGTAATTTTCAACACAATACATTTAAAATTATATATTGTTATAAATGTCCAAACTAGTGTAGAATAGCAGTTATTCTAGGGTAATATTTAAAGCTTTTAAATCATTGTTATAGTAATTCTATGCTGTTGTGTGATTTTATAGTACTTTAATATTATTTAATTTATCTAATTGTGATAGGTTTATCACTATGGTCTGATATTATGACAACACATTTACATGATGATGTCTTATAGGGTTTCACAAAAAGGAAAACTCTAGGGAACACAACCCATGAATTTCCAGGGAGGTGTATGCTATGCCACTTACTTTGAGCAAATATGAAAAATTAGAGCAGAGAGCATTTATAAATTCCTTCATAAGACAAGGAGTAAACCCAGTGACATTATATAGGAGTTTAAGCAAGAATAGCGTAACATAAAACAGTGGACAGCAATGGACAAAGAGCATTTATGAATTTTTCCATAAATTAATTTTTATATATTAACTATCAACAGAAATAAAGAAGTACTACAATATAACTATGTAAGGTATCGGAAACAAGACAACAATATAAGCTAATTAAACACTGGGTTTCTCCATTTGAATTATCTAATTAAACAAAAGCCCAAAAGTTCACATACGATTTTTATTTTTAAAGATTTTGATACTTTAAATGGTCAGACATAAACATTTCTTTTACATATTTGGTGTGCTTTTTGTCGAACAGGAACAGAGGTTTCCGTAATTAAGGTATTACTGGAAGAGGCTTTCTTGCTAAGAGGAGAGGACAGGGTGAAAAAGACCAATGACATGGAAGTGGCGAAAAGGTTAGTTAGTGAGGATGAGGAAAGCTCCACTGACAGAGGAGAAAGTGGAGAAAGAAAAGAAACCAATTGCAAAGAAAAGAACATTAACTTCAGTTCACCCAACTACTTTTTGGGAGTGAAGAATCTACTAAGTACAGGTAAGGGCTGATATTAGATTCAGGATATTGGTTTCAGCTTGAACGTAAACAGTAAATTATATTGAAATATTGGTACATGTGGGCAAAGTCGTAAAAAAAAGGTCTAAAATCTCTTTTCTTTGTAACAAATTATGGGTATTGTTGAGAATGGTGGTTTAATTTGCTAGGACAGATTTCATGATAACTATTTTTGAAACCTTATGCAACTCAGATTCAACGACTGTTTTATATGGAAAGAAAGCATAGTCTAAATGAAAAAAAAACAGATAAACTACAAGAAGTGCTGAATAAATCTCAAGCTAACCCAGTTGGAAATATATGCAACTCAGATCCAGCAATTGTTTTATATGGAATGGTCTTAGGGAAACAAATAACTGATAAACTACATGAAGTGTGCAACACTGGAAACATATGCAACTCGTATCAAACGATTTTTTATATGGAGAGAGCATGGTCTAAGGGAAACAAATACCCGATAAACTACATGAAGTGTGCAACATTGGAAACACATGCAACTCGTATCAAACGATTTTTTAAATGGAAAGAGAGCATGGTCTAAGGGAAACAAATACCCGATAAACTACATGAAGTGCACAACATTGGAAACATATGCAACTCATATCAAACGATTGTTTTATATGGAAAGAGAGCATGGTCAATGGGAAACAAATACCCGATAAACTACATGAAGTGCACAGCATTGGAAAAATATGCAACTCATATCAAACGATTGTTTTATATGGAAAGAGAGCACGGTCTAAGGGAAAAAATACCCGATAAACTACATGAAGTGCACAACATTGGAAACATATGCAACTCATATCAAACGACTGTTTTTTTATATGGAAAGAGAGCATGGTCAATGGGAAAACAAATACCCGATAAACTACATGAAGTGTGCAATATTGGAAACATATGCAACTCATATCAAACAATTGTTTTATATGGAAAGAGAGCGTGGTCAATGGGAAAACAAATACCCGATAAACTACATGAAGTGCACAACACTGGAAACATATGCAACTCATATCAAACGATTGTTTTATATGGAAAGAGAGCATGGTCTAAGGGAAACAAATACCCGATAAACTACATGAAGTGCACAACATTGGAAACATATGCAACTCATATCAAACGATTGTTTTATATGGAAAGAGAGCATGGTCTAAGGGAAACAAATACCCGATATTCTACATGAAGTGCACAACATTAGAAATATATGCAACTCATATCAAACGATTGTCTTATATGGAAAGAGAGCATGGTCTAAGGGAAACAAATACCTGATAAACTACATGAAGTGCACAACATTGGAAACATATGCAACTCATATCAAACAATTGTTTTAAATGGAAAGAGAGCATGGTCTAAGGGAAACAAATACCCGATAAACTACATGAAGTGCACAGCATTGGAAACATATGCAACTCATATCAAACGATTGTTTTAAATGGAAAGAGTAAACTACATGAAGTGCACAGCATTGGAAACATATGTAACTCATATCAAACGATTGTTTTATATGGAAAGAGAGCATGGTCTAAGGGAAACAAATACCCGATAACTACATGAAGAGCACAACATTGGAAACATATGCAACTAGTATCAAACGATTGTTTTATATGGAGAGAGCATGGTCTAAGGGAAACAAATACCCGATAAACTACATGAAGTGCACAACATTGGAAACATATGCAACTTGTATGAAACAATTGTTTTATATGGAAAGAGAGCATGGTCAATGGGAAAACAAATACCCGATAAACTACATGAAGTGAGCAACATTGGAAACATATGCAACTTGTATCAAACGATTGTTTTATATGGAAAGAGAGCATGGTCTGTGGGAAACAAATACCCGATAAACTACATGAAGTGCACAGCATTAGAAACATATGCAACTTGTATCAAACAATTGTTTTATATGGAAAGAGAGCATGGTCTAAGGGAAACAAATACCCGATAAACTACATGAAGTGCTCAACATTGGGAACATATGCAACTCATATCAAGCGATTGTTTTATATGGAAAGAGAGCATTGTCAATGGGAAACAAATACCTGATAAACTACATGAACTGCACAACATTGGAAACATATGCAACTCGTATCAAACGATTGTTTTATATGGAAAGAGAGCATGGTCAATGGGAAAACAAATACCTGATAAACTACATGAAGTGCGCAATATTGGAAACATATGCAACTCGTATCAAACAATTGTTTTAAATGGAAAGAGAGCATGGTCAATGGGAAAATAAATACCTGATAAACTACATGAAGTGCGCAACATTGGAAACATATGCAACTCATATCAAACGATCATTTACATGGAAAGAGAGCATGGTCTAAGGGAAACAAATACCCGATAAACTACATGAAGTGCTCAACATTGGAAACATATGCAACTCGTATCAAACAATTGTTTTATATGGAAAGAGAGCATGGTCAATGGGAAAAAATACCAGATAAACTACATGAAGTGCACAGCATTGGAATCATATGCAACTCATATCAAACGATTGTTTTGTATGAAAAGAGAGCATGGTCAATGGGAAAACAAATACCCGATAAACTACATGAAGTGCGCAACATTGGAAACATATGCAACTTGTATCAAACGATTGTTTTGTATGAAAAGAGAGCATGTTCAATGGGAAAACAAATACCCGATAAACTACATGAAGTGCGCAACATTGGAAACATATGCAACTTGTATCAAACGATTGTTTTATATGGAAAGAGAGCATGGTCTAAGGGAAACAAATACTCGATAAACTACATGAAGTGCGCAACATTGGAAACATATGCAACTCATATCAAACGATTGTTTTATATGGAAAGAGAGCATGGTCTAAGGGAAAACAAATACCAGATAAACTACATGAAGTGCGCAACATTGGAAACATATGCAACTCATATCAAACGATTGTTTTATATTGAAAGAGAGCATGGTCTAAGGGAAACAAATACCCGATAAACTACATGAAGTGTGCAACATTGGAAACATATGCAACTAGTATCAAACGATTGTTTTATATGGAGAGAGCATGGTCTAAGGGAAACAAATACCCGATAAACTACATGAAGTGCACAACATTGGAAACATATGCAACTTGTATCAAACAATTGTTTTATATGGAAAGAGAGCATGGTCTAAGGGAAACAAATACCCGATAAACTACATGAAGTGCGCAACATTGGAAACATATGCAACTTGTATCAAACGATTGTTTTATATGGAAAGAGAGCATTGTCAATGGGAAAACAAATACCCGATAAACTACATGAAGTGCACAACATTGGAAACATATGCAACTCGTATCAAACAATTGTTTTAAATGGAAAGAGAGCATGGTCAATGGGAAAATAAATACCTGATAAACTACATGAAGTGCGCAACATTGGAAACATATGCAACTTGTATCAAACGATTGTTTTGTATGAAAAGAGAGCATGTTCAATGGGAAAACAAATACCCGATAAACTACATGAAGTGCGCAACATTGGAAACATATGCAACTTGTATCAAACGATTGTTTTATATGGAAAGAGAGCATGGTCTAAGGGAAACAAATACTCGATAAACTACATGAAGTGCGCAACATTGGAAACATATGCAACTCATATCAAACGATTGTTTTATATGGAAAGAGAGCATGGTCTTAGGGAAAACAAATACCAGATAAACTACATGAAGTGTGCAACATTGGAAACATATGCAACTTGTATGAAACAATTGTTTTATATGGAAAGAGAGCATGGTCAATGGGAAAACAAATACCCGATAAACTACATGAAGTGTGCAACATTGGAAACATATGCAACTAGTATCAAACGATTGTTTTATATGGAAAGAGAGCACGGTCTAAGGGAAACAAATACCCGATAAACTACATGAAGTGCTCAACATTGGAAACATATGCAACTCGTATCAAACAATTGTTTTATATGGAAAGAGAGCATGGTCAATGGGAAAAAATACCAGATAAACTACATGAAGTGCACAGCATTGGAATCATATGCAACTCATATCAAACGATTGTTTTGTATGAAAAGAGAGCATGGTCAATGGGAAAACAAATACCCGATAAACTACATGAAGTGCGCAACATTGGAAACATATGCAACTTGTATCAAACGATTGTTTTGTATGAAAAGAGAGCATGTTCAATGGGAAAACAAATACCCGATAAACTACATGAAGTGCGCAACATTGGAAACATATGCAACTTGTATCAAACGATTGTTTTATATGGAAAGAGAGCATGGTCTAAGGGAAACAAATACTCGATAAACTACATGAAGTGCGCAACATTGGAAACATATGCAACTCATATCAAACGATTGTTTTATATGGAAAGAGAGCATGGTCTAAGGGAAAACAAATACCAGATAAACTACATGAAGTGCGCAACATTGGAAACATATGCAACTCATATCAAACGATTGTTTTATATTGAAAGAGAGCATGGTCTAAGGGAAACAAATACCCGATAAACTACATGAAGTGTGCAACATTGGAAACATATGCAACTAGTATCAAACGATTGTTTTATATGGAGAGAGCATGGTCTAAGGGAAACAAATACCCGATAAACTACATGAAGTGTGCAACATTGGAAACATATGCAACTAGTATCAAACGATTGTTTTATATGGAGAGAGCATGGTCTTAGGGAAACAAATACCCGATAAACTACATGAAGTGCACAACATTGGAAACATATGCAACTTGTATCAAACAATTGTTTTATATGGAAAGAGAGCATGGTCTAAGGGAAACAAATACCCGATAAACTACATGAAGTGCGCAACATTGGAAACATATGCAACTCATATCAAACGATTGTTTTATATGGAAAGAGAGCATTGTCAATGGGAAACAAATACCCGATAAACTACATGAAGTGCACAGCATTGGAAACATATGCAACTCATATCAAACGATTGTTTTATATGGAAAGAGAGCATGGTCTAAGGGAAACAAATACCCGATAAACTACATGAAGTGCACAGCATTGGAAACATATGCAACTTGTATCAAACGATTGTTTTAAATGGAAAGAGAGCATGGTCAATGGGAAAACAAATACCTGATAAACTACATGAAGTGCGCAACATTGGAAACATATGCAACTCGTATCAAACGATTGTTTTATATGGAAAGAGAGCATGGTCAATGGGAAACAAATACCAGATAAACTACATGAAGTGCACAGCATTGGAAACATGCAACTCATATCAAACGATTGTTTTATATGGAAAGAGAGCATTGTCAATGGGAAACAAATACCCGATAAACTACATGAAGTGCACAACATTGGAAACATATGCAACTTGTATCAAACAATTGTTTTATATGGAAAGAGAGCATGGTCTAAGGGAAACAAATACCCGATAAAGTACATGAAGTGCGCAACATTGGAAACATTTGCAACTCATATCAAACGATTGTTTTATATGGAAAGAGAGCATTGTCAATGGGAAACAAATACCCGATAAACTACATGAAGTACACAGCATTGGAAACATATGCAACTTGTATCAAGTGATTGTTTTATATGGAAAGAGAGCATGGTCAATGGGAAAAAAATACCCGATAAACTACATGAAATGCGCAACATTGGAAACATATGCAACTCGTATCAAACAATTGTTTTATATGGAAAGAGAGCAAATTTCTTTGTGTGAAATGTACTTTTGCTAAATTGAAAATTGGATTTTAAAAAAATTACCAACTATTCAAAATGGTTTCTTTATTATTTTTCAAAAATGAAGGATCAAATAAAAAAAAAAGTTACATCCAAAGAAAACAGGTCAAATAAACTTGGAAAAAATCCAGATGCTTGATTTTGCACTTGAATAATTTGACCCACTATTGTAGAATTTTTTTTGTTACACCAGTGATCTGAGAAGGTAGATTCCAATATACAAGACATCAAAATATCTATCAATGACCTTCAAAGCTTCCATATGAGGCATACATGCATTAACTGGTAAAAGGTAAGCTGTTCAAGGAACAGTAATAATGCTGCTCAATATTCATTTAAGTAGCAATTTAGGGATCCCATCGATCAATATTCAATTCAAAATAAACCCATTGTATCAGATGAGATCAATCATGTATCAGGTTAGCATACATAAACTCCATTTGCAATGAAGCAAATGTTTCAACACGCAATTAACATCTACAAAAACAACCTGCTTCACAAAGGCTCGAGAAGCATTCTTTGGGCATATGGGACATACAGAGAATATAAACAAAAATCTATACCAGTGCCCAAAAATGATAAATAAATTTAAAAAAAATGGAGGAACAACATTTCTATAGTTGTCTTATGGATGCTGGTCAGATTGACAACACACTAAGATAGTCATTACTGATCAAAAATGATAATTTTGAGTAGGAACTTCACCACAAAA